AACTATCACTTTAACTGTAGTCAAGAACATTGAAACTAAGATCCTACACAGATTTGGGGCACCCGAGACAATTGTCACAGACGACAGGCCATCTTTTATTTCAAGGGAAGTAGAGGAGTTTACAGGTAAGTTCAAGATAAAGATGATTCAGTCTAGTCCTTACTACCCCCAGTTAAATGGTCAAGCAGAAGCCAACAACAAGATCTTGGTGATTATTATCAAGAGAATGGTGATAGATAATCCAGAAAAGTGGCATGAGAAATTAAGAGAGACTTTGTGGGCTTACAGAACCTCCAAGAGAGCAGGAACTGGAACTACTCCTTACGCCCCTAACCTTCGAGCAAGACGTTGTGCTCCCCATTGAGATAAATGTGAGTTCTGTTAGAATTCAAAACCAATTTGGGTTGCACAGTGAAGAATATATTCAAGCTATGTGTCAAGGAGTTGAAGATCTAGATGTAGCCCGAATTGAAGCTCTAGATAAAATTCAAGAGGGGAAGAGAGCTATTGCCCAAGCATACAACAAAAAAGTAGTTAAAAACTTTCAAGGAGAGGGAATTAGTATGGAAAATAATACTACCTTGGGAGCTCAAATCAAAGGCTTTGGGAGGTGGAGTCCGACTTGGAAGGGTCCTTTCATTATCAACCATGTACTAGACAAAGGAAGATATTACTTGGCAGATATGGAAGGAAGCTTACGAAGGCATCCAATTAATGCTAAGTTTTTGAAGAAATATCACTCAACCTTGTGGGATGTTAGGGATTGTTACATTGAAGAAGTTTAGACATTGTACGAGATCCAAAAGTCAGCTTATATGCTCATCATAGTTAAGTTTCAAGGAGGAAATGCAAGCTAAAGTGGATTAAAGAAGTCATTTTCATTTCATTGAATGTTGAAGTTACATAAGAATCAACTCAATAGTTTTACATCCTTGGCTAGGGCAGCTATCCTAAAATGGTATGTCTGTATAATAGTGAAGATTCTACCCAGCTCATCCAAAGCAATGTTACTATTAACTAATCGTGCTTCAGCATCTTCAACTTCAACATTTACTTACTTGACCTTTTCAATCTTCTGGTGAAGCTGGTTGGTTAAGGTCGCTTATTCAGCCTTAAGTACAGATAGTTGCTCTTTCAACCTCTCAATTTTAGAAGACACCTCTGTAATCCTTGCTTCCATAGCAGAGCCTTCTTCCATAAGTCCTACCAAAGTCTTTGACATTGATCCTAAAACCAACAAGGTCATGGTAGTTGATCCCGAAGCATACACCTATGATGATGAAGTGATCAAGAAAGCAGAAGCTATGGGAAAGTTTAGGCTTGTGATATCAGTGCAAGGGAAGATATCTTTATATTCACAAGTGGAATCCATTAGTGCAATTAAAGTTGCTCGGCTACTCCTCAATGCCATAGAAGTCCTGAAACAAAAGTTGGACATAATGTGCCTTTCTGAGGATACTGTAGAAGCCAATGACTAGTCATGGGTAACCTCTAGGACCCTGCCCGAAGACCTATGCCGTGTGAAGGATGGTAAGAGACATGAGGCCCATCCTGAAGTCAAAAGTGTTGGTGCCCGAGTGCCAAAAGAGGAGTGCAGTTGTCAATAGCTCGGACTTGGCAATGACCGTGGTCTTGGAGAGCATTATCAACTCATAAATTACGTTATTTATCCATTTCCTTTTAAAGATGAGCTCGAGCTTGTTTATCCATTATGACCATGCCTCATCCTTCATAAGTGGGAAGCTGTGATGGTGGTTTGACCATTTAGAAGACGAAATGCCCGACTTAGCCTAAAATGGATTAGGGGTATACCAATTCTCCTTGGGCATATTGTTTTCTACAGCTACAGGGACCTAAGAAGTCCATGCAGGCCCCAAGAAATGTACTCCTCCCTCCTTGAAGAAAAGTTCACTATGCAGGCTTGCCCGAGGGCGATGAAGGCCTTTGAGCAAGTGGCGCGTGGTGGAAATCCCCTCGCCAATCTCGCAGTGAGATTGAGTTCGAGCAACTTTGGGTGCCATTGGATGATTTTGAGGAGAAAATGGGAAGAAAATCAGAATTAGGGGCAAGATTTGAGGAACGAGAGAAGTTTTTGGAAAGTCTGAAGGCTTTGAGAATTCTGGGAAGTTCTGGGAATTCGAAGGTTTGAAGTTGCTAAGGTATTTAGACAAAGGGTTTAAGTGAGAATTATATAGTAAGTGGTTACTTAACGATGGAATTCGTGGGTTAGTGCAAAGGTTCATCTGGACTCTGAATCGAGATGTGCTAGTCGACACTTGAAAAGTGACGAAGTCATAAAGTATAGTGATGTGAAAAATGTGAATAAATTTAAACCTAAAAGTGCCTAAATGTTAGAGTGCGCATGTGAGTAGGATTGATCCCAATTCACACGTGATGTCAAAGCATAAGTAAAGTACAATAAATGTAGGATACGAATTATACCATCAAAGGTAGCCAAGAATCCTCGTTGACATTAAAGCTCTGCACCAATGATTAAAGGGGGCACTGTTTGGGTTAATATTTGAACATTGAACCTAGATGAAGGAAAGCCTAAGAATGTTAACTAAAAGGAGACTTGTCTGAAGCCCAGCACCAAGCCCAAAGGCAAAGTGAAGCCTTCTCAGCCAAGATACAAGCCACGTTCTTACCATTGAAGAGACAAGTGATGAAGACTAACCTACTACCAGCCAAAGAATACTTTCTAGTGGCATTACAAGTAAAAAGTTGATGACTTACTACCCTTCAGATGTTTTCGGGCAAGAGCAAAGTCTCATCAGTCGGGATAATTGGCCTATAAAATGAGGAAGAGGCCCTAGAGACAAGAACACTCAACCAATCAAACAAACAAACATACAAACTCTACTATCAAGCCAGATTTGCATTCAAAAGCTGAAATCAACCCAGATTTAGTCATTTTTAGTGACAAGCTATCTCTTGCCGAGTTTAAAGCTCTGCTATCTCCCTTAGTGGCGTAGTATCGATTCCCTTGTGTAAACTTGTTTACCATATGTCCCTTTTTAGCATATAAACCCCTGTTAATTCAAAGAGAAATGATTGCAAGAGGTTCAATCTTGACAGACAAGGTGAAATCTTGCCCGACGCTCCTTGTTTGTTTTCTAAATTTGTAGATCTATTACTTAATGCATTCTCCAGTATGTATTCAAGTTAGTTCCATCAGTTTCCCTATCTTAAGAGTTCCATTTGCATCTAGATCTAGTTAGTTTAATGGATATGTTATCATTAAAATCAATCAAGAGCCAAACAAATGGCTTAAAGGGGCCTTAACTCCCTTCATTTGAACATACAAGACTATAAACTAAAAATCCTTGTTACAAGGCAAGAAAAAAACTTAATGTGGACTTAACCCATCCATGACAATCCTTTAATAACAAGAAGTCTGAGTAACTTAGGGCGCAAGTAATTGACTAAAAACACTCTTGTTCTACATCTACTATACTGAGATAGCATGGTATGCCTAGCACTTACTTAGTTTTAATTGTGAGCCTCAAGGCCTACACCTAAGGCCCCACAAAGGCACCTTTCAGAACTGACTTTGTCCTCTTCTTGTAGCACATCAACAATGTGACATCCCACATCACCCAGGGGAGTGATCCTTATATGTATATTCTCATCCCTACCTAGGACGAGGCCTTTTGGGAGCTCACTGGCTTCGGGTTCCGTAGGAACTCCGAAGTTAAGCGAGAAGGGGGCTAGAGCAATCCCATGATGGGTGACCCACTGGGAAGTTGCTCGTGAGTTCCCAAAAATAAAACCGTGAGGGAATGGTAAGCCCAAAGCGGACAACATCATGCTACGGTGGTGGAGCGGGCCCTGGAAGTGGTCCCCTCCAGGGCGGGATGTGACAATTTGGTATCAGAGCCTAACCCTGGTCGCGAGTGTGCCGACGAGAACGTCGGGCCACCAAGGGGGGTGGATTGTGACATCCCACATCGCCCAAGAGAGTGATCCTTATATGTATATTCTCATCCTTACCTAGCGAGAGGCTTTTTGGGAGCTCACTGGCTTCGGGTTCCATGGGAACTCTGAAGTTAAGCGAGTAACGCACGAGAGCAATCCCATGATGGGTGACCCACTGGGAAGTTACTCGTGAGTTCCCAAAAACAAAACCGTGAGGGAATGGTAAGCCCAAAGCGAACAATATCGTGCTACAGTGGTGGAGCGGGCCCGGGAAGCGATCCGCCCCGGGCCGAGATGTGACAATTTGGTATCAGAGCCTAACCCTGGTCGTGGTGTGCCAACGAGGACGTCGGACCCCTAAGGGGGTGGATTGTGACATCCCACATCGCCCAGGGGAGTGATCCTTATATGTATATTCTCATCTCTACTTAGCACGAGGCCTTTTGAGAACTCACTGGCTTCGGGTTCCGTAGGAACTCCGAAGTTAAGCAAGAAGGGGGCTAGAGCAATCCCATGATGGGTGACCCACTGGGAAGTTGCTCGTGAGCTCCCAAAAACAAAACCGTGAGGGAGTGGTAAGCCCAAAGCGGACAATATCGTGCTACGGTGGTAGAGCAGGCCTGGGAAATGATCCGCCCCGGGCGGGGATGTGACAAACAAGCTAAAGGCCGACTACACATCCAAAGTGACAATCCCTTGGGGAGCTGTGCTGAGGTCCAAGGATCCTTCTCCAGAGAAATCTTTGCCTGAACACTTGGTATGAAACCGAACCAAGGGAGACAAAATGACGTTCTCAAAGTCCAAATCCACCTTGATCTAAAGGTCTCCCAACAAATATATATATATATATATATATGGTACGTTTAAAAAACGTGTAATTTAACTCATCATTGTGTATGAAAAAAGGAGAATTCTTTTATAAATACATACGTATGTTTCTAATAAGTATATTATACTCGAATTTACTAACCATGATTATTTTTTTTGTTTTTTGGGTCAAATTATGTGTTTTGCTCAGTCTTAAATTACAAGTATTGGTGATAGTTTCCCAAAAAAAAAAAAAAAAAAAATTTACAGGTTATGGTGATTGTTCAAAAGGACGCGGTGTGGTTGGGTGAGGACAAAAGATGGGAAAAAGATAGGTTAGGTTGATTCATCTTCTTCGTGACAAGCTGCCTCTGCGACTGCAACACAACACCAATTCCCAATCTTAAATGTCTGAAACTTCGGGATCAGCACGTCGGCTCTAAATCTTAGATGTCTGAAACTTCAAACCCCAATTCCCGATATCCAATCTCCAATCTCGGATCTCCAATCTCCAGTCTCCAATCTCATACCCAATCCTCCATCCAGGTCCGCCCTCCTCATTTACTGCCGCAGCTTTCAATCTTATTTGCATTCGTTATTGCATTTGCTTCAACTCATTCTTCAGATCTGCTTCTCCGAATTTGAGCATTATTGTATGCTTCTATTTTTCTGGGTTCTGCGATTGCAGATTATCAGGGTTTAATCGCCATTTTGAATCAAATATGAAATTAGTTAATCTTTAATTTCAGATAAGATGCTCTGATAATTAAGTGATTTTCTTTAATGGGGTTTGTTTGATTGATTTGTATGCTTTTGGGTATTCGCTGTTGCAGTGTTTGGTCTTCATTGTGTTTGTATCAATCAATCCATTGATCTATCATGTGGAGGTTTAAGCCTTTTATGCACAAGGAGCCAACCGGGCTCGAAGGTCGATCCATTGACGTTGGAAATGTCAAGATTCATGTCAAGAATGCCATTGCCGAAGGCGGGTTCTCTTGCGTTTACTTAGCCCGGGACGCCGTGCATGTGTCCAAGCAGTATGCTTTGAAGCACATCATTATTAATGATGAGGAGCTGCTGGAGTTGGTGATGAAGGAGATCTCGGTCATGAAGTTGCTCAGAGGACACCCCAATGTGGTCACACTTTGTGCCCACACCATCTTGGATATGGGGCGTACAAAAGAAGCTCTCCTTGTGATGGATTTTTGTGAAAAGAGTCTGGTGAATGTACTCGAGAGCAGAGGAGCCGGGTTCTTTGAGGAGAAACAGGTTCTTGCTATCTTCAGGGATGTGTGCAATGCAGTTTTCGCAATGCACTCGCAATCCCCTCCCATTGCTCATAGGTACTTGGCACTTTAACAATGCATATTATGTTTTTATATTTTTCTTTTGTTTTATATTTTATAGAAATGATGTCTATTTATGATTGGTAAAATCAGTTTTGTTGGTGTAACCACGACTCTTCTTGTTAAATCAGTAAATAGAAATGATGTCTATTTATGAAGTATGCTTTAATAAAGTATTTGTGATGCCTAATAATCCTTAAATGTGGTTCTTTGTGGAAAGTAATTCCGGGTAAGATAAAAAGAGAAGAGATCGGATGAGTTAAAACCTAAAACGATATACGTTTAACCCGTTTTGTTATTCGCAGAAGATAACTTTCATTCATGTGCTTATTAACTCATTCGTGTAAAAAAAAAAAAAAAAAAAAAAGTGTTTCCCAGTAAAATTTTAATTAGTGGTACTTAAAATCAGGGACTTGAAAGCTGAGAATCTTCTTTTGGGGCCTGATGGATTGTGGAAGTTGTGTGATTTTGGAAGCATCTCTACCAATCACAAGCGTTTCGAGAAGCCTGAAGAAATGGGTATTGAAGAAGACAATATTAGAAAGCACACAACACCGGCCTATAGAGCCCCTGAGGTTGAACGAAAAACTTTATTTCTGAACTTGAATGCGTGGTATTTGATGTTTTAAAATATTGATTCATTTCTTCCTTCTTTGAATTAGATGTGGGATCTCTTTCGGAGAGAGCTTATAAACGAGAAAGTAGACATATGGGTAAGTTGATTATGCCCTCAAGATTGCTGGGAAATTCTGAAAGAGTTGAAGTTTATAATTCAAATGCTACTGGGAGCTGAGACTATGAGTTTCATTTACAGGCTCTTGGGTGTCTTCTCTTTCGCATTTGCTACTTCAAAAGTGCATTTGATGGAGAATCAAAGCTGCAGATCTTAAATGGAAACTATCGCATTCCAGAATTACCTAAATACAGCTCATCTATAACAGATCTAATCAGAGACATGCTTCAGTCTTCACCGGATGACAGACCAGACATCACACAGGCAAGCTCTTTGCTTGATTAGCCATTCATTTCCATGAATTTAGGTTAGTTTAAGATCATTTGCGTCCATGCAACAGTAGGTGTGGAGATTCCAACATTTGTTTACTGATGCTTTTTCCCCTTGTGTGGTGGCAGGTGTGGTTTCGTGTTAATGAGCTGTTACCAGTTGGTTTACAAAAGTCTTTACCTGATAGGCAACCTGAAGCGAACTCTGCTGACAAACCTGAAGGTGAGGCTGAAACATCAGGGCATTACTTGTTGATTAAACTTCTTCGTGTGGGATTAATTTGTTATATTGTCCTCAATGATCCTTGTCACATGCTGGTTTTTCTGTTGTCTTTTGCATTTAAACCTTGTTTTTAGGTTTTTCTGCTTATCAGATATTTCAGGTTTGAAAGTGATGTTGCTACTTTATGTAAATTTCTAAGAGTACGAACTTGAAAATATTAATTGAGAAAAAAAATTAAATTCTATTAATTGAAAAAAAAAAAATTATATTCTATGTTTGAAGTTTTCAATTTTAATTGAGTGACTGATTTATTTCAAATCTGTAGGTTTGTCAAGGCCCCATAGAAGCCCACCACCACCACCAGCTTCGGTTGGAGAATCAGCCAGAAATTCATCACAATTGTCAAATACATCAAGGGCAGGGGGAGGTGGAGGGCCAATTGGTGCATTCTGGTCCACTCAACATGCAGATAGCTCTCTTGTTGTTGACGAAAAGAGTATACCTAAGTTTGATGATGAGCCCACTGGCCATTTCACAGAAAAACTTGATGGGGTTCGCCTGGAGATTCATCCCAAACCCAAGAACAGTGCCCCTGCAAAAGAGGAAAGGGCGCAAACCCATGCCACACGAAGAAACTTGCATGGGAAATCGCACAAACCTGAGGAGGGACCTTCAAAGGACTTTGAAATAAGTTTCTTACAAAAAGACCATGGCACTGAAAGGGCAAAGACATCCAAATCTGAGAGTTCAATTAGTTTTCAAGACGAGGCATTTAACTCTTTCGTTGCTGATTTTGATTCTAAGAAACTCAGCTCAGAAGCTAGTAATAACAAATCTGGAACAGAAGCATTAGAGGCTGAAGTAGAGAGATTGAAAGAGCAGCTGAAACAAGTGAACTTGGAAAAGGCTGAAATAACTTCCAAATTTGAAAAGCTGTCTGCCATCTGCCGATCTCAAAGGCAGGAGTTACAAGAGCTTAAGCAGATGCTTGCTGCTAGAACACCGTCACCAAATAAAGATGCATCGAGAAATCAGACTTCACCTGGAAAGCAGCCATCACCAAATCTACCGGTATAATGTCAAAAAAAAAATTGTGCCTCATCTTACAACTGTTTGACTTTAAAATTTGCCCTCTGTTATTTATTTATTTGGAGAATTTTTTGCTTTTGCAGCATAGGGAGAAGATCGAAGGAAACATTTGGAAACTCCAGCAAGGAAAATCTACTCCGAGTCCGGAGTCAAAGCCGTGGCAGCCATTTGCAGAGGAACCCAAACCGCCGCAGCCTTCATCAACGGCCAATGCCTTCAAATCAGCTAGGACAAGAAATGGTCACCAGAACAAGCAGGGGACTCAAGTAAATGCTGGTTTTGATTCTTGGGGTTTTGGAGCAGATAGTTTTAGTGCTGCATCCACTGAAAGCGCACAGATATCAAGACCTATGAGCGAAGGAAACAATTCTCAGCGCTTAGGGGAGGCAAAGGGTATGGAGAACAGTAAGCCGGCTTCTCAACCTGCTGGATGGGCTGGTTTCTAAATGAATGCCATCTGGGATTGCTGTGAAGGAGGTATTTGATAACAACCCTCTGTCTGACTTTCTGACTTTCTTGTCGTCGATGTTGGTCAAGAAATCGAGGGTGGAAGAGTAAGAGAGATGCATTTGAATTTGATTTGAGATTTTGAGTGCTCGCTCGTGTTTTATACAGAATCTGTTGTGTAACATGTACGCATACATATATGTGAATTGAGTGGCAGTTACTTCAAGTATATACATTTTTTCTCTGTGTGCATGTCTCAATTGTTGGCGAAGAAAATAATCTCTCTATTTTTGTGTATGTTTGATGGAAACATACCTCACCGTTGAAAGAAAATTCAGACTTGAAAAGAGCCTCGGTACTTTTCTTTTGTCAAACATATTGATTTAATATAGTTAATTAATTATTTTAATTGAATTAATATAATTAATTAAATTAAACTATTATATTAAAATAAGATTTTCGAACATATTGGAAGATTATTGAAAGAGGTGAACATTTTAAAATTATTGAAAAAAATTAAGGGAAGGATTATTGTCAAAGGTGCCCACAAGCCCTTTGGCCCAACCCTCGGTTAGAGATGGTTTTCGTGTCATTTCAAGCTATTTTTAGCCCTATGACCTTTTGGCCGGATCGATTGGAGATGACCTAAGCTCTCTTCATATCTCACTGCACAATCATAATACCATATCATCACCATCTAAGCAATTTGTGAAGAAGAGCTTAGGAAGGTACCTTGCTATGGATTTCTAGTTCTATCTTTCATTTATTTTTATTTTTATGTGTAACAAAGTACTCTTTTTAAAGGTTTATGATGAAGCAATGGCATGAATCTTTGCAAAATACTGTTAATTGTTATTTGATTCTATTTGTGCATATGCTCAAATCTAACCTTCTCCAACATGTAAAGGGTTTTATTTACTTTTCAAGAATTTGGAAAGCGAAGAATATTGATGAATTTTATAATGTATTTTAGGTACAAATTATGTCGATCCCGCTGAGATTTTGAAGGAATTCACTCAATAATTCACATGATGGGGTTTAAGTAAATATGAGGGTTGATCCTTGGCTACTCTTATAATTTTCATCATCACCTACATAGGTTGTGTACAAATTCACATGAGGGGTTTAAGTAAATATGAGGGTTGATCCTTGGCTACTCTGTTTTATAATTTTCATCATCACCTACATAGGTTGTGTACAAATTACTGGAATTAAATAAGTATAAATCAATGCAAATCTAGGGAAAGAAACAAATAAGGAAGTGTGGAGGTCAAAAGGGAGTAGGATTCTCTCCCCTCCTATTTAAACTGTTATGGTTAAGCCACGTCAACGTCTTGAGTTAATTTTTTAATGGCCAAAAGAAGACAAAAAGCAATATGTGAGATGAGGGGAGGGAAATGGATGGGAATAGGAGGGGAGAGAATCATACTCTGGTCAAAGGTGGGATGGGGAGGTCATTTTTATGAGATTTTTCAATGTTTTGGATTGGGGTGAGTTCGAAAAATCAAAAATTGAAAAAAAAAATCGAACCAAGGCCTAAAAAACCAAACCGAATTAAGACAAACCAAACTAAACCAAATCTAATTGTTTCAATTTCGGTTTTAAGGGTATGGAAACCGAACCAAACCCACATCATTTGGTTTTCGATGATTAAAGAGACTCTCCACTCGATGATAGCTCTGAAACCTGTTGGTGTCACTACGCTTTGACCACCCAGCGGATTCTATCCCCCAAGAATAATGTGATCGTATTAAGTTTGCTAGTTGTAGCTATTGACTGATGAATTATGAATGTGATCACCAACATCGTAAAATGTAAGATATGTAGTATTTTTTTTTTTAATCGCATCTGTTGATAGGTTGGTGTCAAAAGTCTGGTGTGTTGTTATTCACATTTTCTTTATGTTGCGATAAGCAAGAGTTGTGTCAGTTGACTAAAGCAATGTGTTGCTTTTGCACTTGAGTTTGATCTTGTTCCCTATTGATTAGAATAATTTACAATATCATGTTATCAAAATTTTATTTAAGCAAGGGCGTATTTGAAAGTACCTGTATAGAATAGAACTTAAAAAAAGTTCGTGAAAGTCAATTATTTGAGACGAAAGCAGATGACATTTTATCGCAATGATGAAAAACAATAATGCCTATGCATCATGATACGGGTTGGATCCCCACGTCTTTTCGCTAACAACTCACTATTTAATAAGGTAATAGTAGGGAGATCAACTTTTTAAACCAAATAACATGGTTGTTGATGCTTGGATTATTAGTTGTTGATTAACATGTTTATTTTCTATTTCTGACATATAATTTGAATTACAAATTTTGTCTAAAAAATTTGCCTATCTTGCATTAAGAAAAATACTTTTATCTACTTGTATTAAGCAATGTATTGGACCAAATTCTAGTAACACGGAAAAAATCTCTTGCTCCATATTTTTTTATTCTTTACAAATAAAAAAAAAAAAAAATATATATATATATATATATATATATATATATATATAAAAAGAAAGAGTTTGACCATGCCCCGGAAGACCCAAAAGCAATTCGAAGCTAAAAGCCCGGTCAAGTTAGGCCATTTCCAACCAATCCAGCCAAAGTGTTCGTGGGCCCCACCAAGTCACAATTGTAGAATCGGGCCAACCGGTTGGCCCAAACCAGCCAACCAACCAGCCCAGGCCAGTCCAAAAATTTGAAGCCCAACGGCTACTAGCTGACGTCATCCTGATGCCAGCTAGCCGTTGGATTTGAAAATTTTTTTTTTTACAAAATTTAAAATTCCAATTTTTTTTTTCCTATAACTACCTAAGCCATTAAACAACATTAAACAATATTAAACTTAAACAATGTTAAAAAAAAAAAAACATTTAACAACGTAAAACTTAAATGCCTACTTCATGCTTCTTTTGGCCCAAAGATGTGGAATAAGATTCTGTTGTAGGTACTTGTTTGTGGCATGCGAACATATCATCGTATTGCACCTCATATATTCGTTTAACGAGATATTACCAGTTATTTGATCAAAAGGCAAATTAGGCCCATCATATATTTTTGCACAAGCCCTCCTTGACCTATTTGGATCATCTTGGTTGTCATCAGTTTCTCCATCAATATAGCCATCGCACTGATCATCCACAATCATGTTATGTAATACGATGCATGACATCATGATGGAGTTCAATTTACTTCGACTCCACCCTCTTACTTGTTCCTTGATGATCTTCCACCGTGCTTGTAGAATTCCAAAAGCTCTATCAACATCTTTCAGGTATGCCTCTTGGTGTAAGGTAAACCACCTTTAGGTGTCATCCACAGGGTTTGGAATTTCTTGGACAAGTGTCGCTTACTTTGGGTAGATGTCATTTGCCAAGTAATACCCCATATGTACTGACGGCCGTTGACGTAGTAGTCAAGTTGAGGTGATTTACCCTCTGTCAGGTTATTGAAGAGGATGAATGGCCAAGAACTGTAATGTCATTTTGAGATCCAGCAACTCCAAAAAAAGCATGTTAGATCCATGTGTCAAACGAGGTAACTGCCTCTAACATAATAGTTGGCTTTCTCGACCTTCCACTAAAGCATCATTGCCATCTGGTGGGACAATTCTTCCATTGTCAATGCATGCAATCTAATGACCATATCATGCTTGGAAGGGCACGATCTTCAGCTTTACGAATGAGCCGATCCAGATCTTCTTGATTTGATTCACGGAGGTATTCCTCTTTGTAAAGGTGAATAATTGTGTCATAGAATTCAGCAAGAGTATCAAGGCATGTAGACTCAGTCATGCCATATGTATCATTCATCGCATCAGATGGGGAGGTATAGGCCATCATTAAAAGTGCAATAGTAACCTTCTGATGAAGTGAGAAACCAGGGCAGCTTGCTTTGTCCAACTTCTGTTGAAAGTATGGATTAACATGCTGGACATGACGCCTCATCTGGAAGTGACGTCTAAAATCCTCTTCTTTGTACATCAAGTTAGGGTTGAAGTAGTTGTTCATCAGATTGTCATGTGACATATGTTTAATTTGTGGTTTGTAAGAACGACCCGCAACAGAGCCACCCCATTGAGGTTGTTCCTCAGTTGGCTCACACGCCATGACCCTAGCCATGGCTGCCATATATGATGTGTTGCACCATGCTTCATCTTTTTTATCAGACTCCTCATCTTCTCATCTTATCTGCGCCCATTTTTCTTCCAATTCAGAATTGGATGAGGGACCCCAGTTGGAATCCGAAGAGGATCCAAATCTGGAATTCATTCCAAACTTGAATTGAAAGAGATTGAATTAAAAGAGACTGAATTGAAAGAGATATTGGATAGGGCAAAGCTGAAGGTGTGTGAATTATAACCCAATATCCACCTTATTTATGGACATTGGAAGCTGAAGGTAAAAAATGCCATGCAGATAAAAATCCTATCTAAAATTCCTACAACCAATTACATCTCAACACGTGACACTTGAAATCTGAGACCTAAAATTATTGAGATTCCATATCGACAAGAAATCTGCAAAGTTACTCACTTATCGACACGTGTCACTCGAAATCCTATCCGAAAAATTATTGAGATTACGTTTCGAAAAATTATTGAGGTAGTTTAATTTAAGTAACCATATTAATTCAACTAAAATAATAAATTATGTTTTGCCTATGACCCTTTGGCCCTCTCGGTTGGAGATGGTTTTTTGTCACAGGACTATGTTTAGCCTATAACCCTTTGGCCCCTCAGGTGGAGATTATAAGAAATATGGCCTGACACTGTTCATTAAAATATTAATTTCTTGAAGGGCTATAGAGCTAAAATGAGCCTTATAACCCTCATTTGGTTGGAGATGGCCTTAGAAAAACATTTTTTCCAGTCGTCTAGAGTTCGAGTTCCTCTATTGCTTCCAATTCCGCTTCTTTTAAGGTTTAAATCTCTCTTTTCTCTCTCTCCAATTAGGTTAATGAGTTCATATTGTCTTTACTATTCCTCCAAAAGTTTGTATTTTGCACTCGTATCAAGCCATTAAATTGTTCTCCTCCTTAATTTTTCCAGTTATGTTGGCTCACTTAAGCATCATGCTAATAAAGCTTTTGATTTTTATGCAATATTATTACATGATTTTACCGAATGTACGTTTGTAAGCCAATATGCATTATTGGGTTCTGCAGATTTTCATGGTTATTTCTATTTCCATTGTCGAACTATAGTCGATAAAGTAAAGGCATTATGTAATTATGGTTGAGGTATTTGTTTCCATTGTATTTTATTTGTATTGATTGGGTATGGTTGAGGTATTTGGTTCAACATTGTTATTTCCATTCTCTTGTTTTTTTTTTTTTTAATTTGATTTTGTTGTTCCACAACCGTTTTACGGCTACTGTTCTATTGTGGGAATATATTGTATAATGTTGAATCCTAGTACCTAAGAAAATCTGGAAAACTCTTGGTTACAGTTGGTACAGTATACTGTTTTAGAAATACTATTACTTTATGTTTAAGACAGTTGCATTCAATTACATTGTGATTTTTTTACAAAAATGATATGATAATTACACTAAACTCATCTAAACTATGGGGAATGGGAATTGAATTTGGGTGTCGAGGGTCAAGCACACTGTTCTAACCAACTTGGCTAAACTCATGTCTATCAATTACATTGTGTTTAGTTTGTCTTTTAATAGTAGTACTTATTAACATAGTCACTGAACATTTGATTTTGTTGAGGAACTTGATATTTACTATAGAACAGTTACTATTAGTTATAATGTTAGTTTGGTAGCTTATTTTCCATTTCTGGTCATACTTACTGTTCATCTACGATTTTCCTTTTTGCATGTAGCAAAATGGAGACTGCTAGAATAGCAAGGTGTAGTTATCGTGCAATTACCGTCGTCTTTGCTTTGTTTGAACACAGTAAATATGTAGATACTGTAAAGATATATGTTTAAGGTTTAAGAAACTGATAGTAGGGAGTTTTGAGCTAACATATTCTCTTCCCAAGCATCCTACTTGCTTGCTGCAATCGGATATGGATGTGCATTTGATGCTTATGTGTTTATCGATGTTGAAAAGTAGTTTTATTGATATTTCAGTCAAAGATCTTGTAAGTTCAAATAATGAGGATGGCAATCATGCAACGTCTAATCATCCGCCTCAAAGTCGTGTTATTTCTAATTATGCATCTTTTGATCAGGCACCTCATAGCCATGCAGTTTCTAATCATGCAACACCATATCATCTAGCTTCTGATTATGCAGCATCTAATCATGTAACGCTTGAAGCACCTAACCATGCAACACATGTAGCTCCTACTCGTGGATTGTCTGGTGATGCAACATCTAATCGAGCAACTTCTAATAATGCAACGTCAAGTGATGCAACATCTAATCATGCAGCTTCTCACCATGCATCATTTATTAATGATGTAATATATAACCATGATGCGTCCAATGATGAAGTATCTAATCATGTAGCGTTTGGTGATGTGATATCTAATCATGCAACGTGTGATGATGTAATATCTAATCATTTAGCGTCTTCATCATACATGTTAAATAGCATCTCCAAATTCCAAGAAAGCGATGCACACATGTCTTGGGCAAGAAGTCACCCTTCCAACACCGCTAGAGCCTCCGCTACACAGATATTTACAGCCTTGATTTCCGAGATTTGGCCCTTTTTTTTCCAATGTTACATCTCGGAAATTGACATGCTCTAGTACAAATATTTTTTTTACAAGATAAAACGTAATTAAAGCAAGAAAACACGAATACAACAGGTTCCAATATGGTCCATATCAAAGGCTGCTCTAGCAAACAAAAGGATACATAACTCCCAAAAATGATTATGCTGGACGAGAAGACCCTGTCGAGCAAAAACATATGCCACAAAGTTTGCCTCTCTATAAATGTGCTTCCACCAGATTTTGGTAAAGTTCAAAGCCAACCATCGAATATCTTCGATTAAAGAAATGATATTCCAGGGTATCTCGCAATAGCCTTAGGCCGCTGAATGAGACGAGGAGTCACCCTCCACCATGATTTTCTTAAAACCCCTTCGCATTGCATGAATTAGACCCTCTTTGAAACCTCTCGCCTCAGCTCCATTAATGATGGCCCCATCAAGATTAAAAGCCCCAGCACCTATCATATTGCCATATTCATTCCTAACAACAAAACATGCACCTGCTTTTTGCAGCCAAGTTGCAGTTTTAATTGAAATTCTCCATTAGAGGAGGCTCCCCACATTAATCTAGGGAACTTTAATGAAAAGCTCCTAGTATTGTTCACTTTAACGAAAAACCACATTTTTACACTAAAAAGTCAATCCTAGTACTATTCACTTTACCCTTTATTTTGTGCTTATCATTAAAACTCAAAGTTTTCAAATCCTTTTCATTAGTTTTCATATTAATCTATCCATCGTCGGTCAATAAAGAATAGTCACATCACATATTTTTTTCACTATGTCCGCACTTAAAACTGAACAAGGATCTTCTCCGGATCCTATTTGCAAGGATTCTGGATATTTTCATATTGTGTCTGTTTATCGTACCTTGTGCAATTATAAATCATTTTAATTTTTTTATTTAAAATTAAACATAAATAGCATTTGACGAAAACTAACTGCACGATGTGAGAATTCCGGATTCCTCACAAAGAGGATCCTCATTCCTTAAAACTTGGATCACCTGCAACCATTTGAATGTAAGTCGTTGATCTCAAAAGGAGCCGTTGGGCTCAACTTAGTTAGCCAACAAGTGGCCGACATCAACTACTTACACGACAAGGTGGCTGACATAACCCACGTGGGTTAGGTCACAAGCTTGCAAGCTGATGCTCGTTGGGCGAGTTAGAGCGTCCAATTTGCACGAGTGATGTCCAATTGCTGGTTCACAGAAGTGGGCCAGCCTATTAACCCAAATCTATTTTTCGGCCAGAATTTGCCTAATTTTTAGACTAAAGGTTAGAGTGTTTTATGAGGGGAATAGAAGGCAAATTTTGAAATCTACTTCAAGGGTTAGAGTTGGTCTCAGATAAAGAATCTTTATTTAAAGTGAGAAGCTTTCTCAAGTTTCAAAATTGAGTGGAGGAGATTACTCCTTATCAAAAGATAAGGTTAAAAAAAATTTGCTTTATATATTTAATGTTTGTAATAAAAGAAAATATAAATATTTAAATAAAAACATATTTGCTTCTACAACAAATAACTTATCTTCATTGTATAAATTTTAATCTACATGTGAAGATCATTTTTACGAAAAATTATTTAGATTGGAGATCCTTTAGTAATCCAAATGTATCTAAATCAATAGTGTAGATACAAGTAACATATTCACGATGAACTGTTAATTTATTTGATACATTTTGATAATTAAACAATCTCTAGTTTACATGATTTTTGGTAATAATGATCTTTAAGTGGAAATTAAAATATTGAACGGTTATTTCTAAAAAATAATAAAAAATAATGTGTTATTTTATTGTTAGAAGGATAGTGTAGTTTTAGTGGATCAGATAGTTAATTCAAATTTAATATTAATGTTGCCTATTAGTACTACTAGACCTGGCATTTGTGTTGTGTTTTTCGTGTTCCTATTCATGTCGTTTTTGTGTCATACCCGATATCTGAACGGGTTGTGTCGTGTAACACCCGTTAAAGTAAACTGGTAATATGACCCAACCCAAAATCGACCCGTTAATATTATCAGGTAATATGACTCGACCTGTTACCGGTTAAAGAAAATATTTTTTAATTCAATAAATAATGAAAATGAAAAACATAATTTGACAAAAAAAAAAAAAAAAAAAAAACATAATACTTGTTACATCTCACATCGCGCAGGGGAGTGATCCTTATATGTATATTCTCATCCCTACCTAGCACGATGCCTTTTGGGAGCTCACTGGCTTCGGGTTCCATAGGAACTCCGAAGTTAAGCGAGTAGTGCACGAGAGCACTCCTAGGATGGGTGACCCATTGGGAAGTTCTCGTGTGAATTCACAGAAACAAAACCGTGAGGACGTGGCCGGGGCTCAAAGTGGACAATATCGTGCTACGATAGTGGAGCGGGCCCGGAAAGTGGTCCCCCCGGGGCCGGGATGTGACAATACTACATTAGTATATATATACCACATTGTCACATAAATATTATTTCAAAACATTAAAACAAAAAAAAAAAAAAATTTGCCTTTCAATGTTCAATGATATGCAAAATGAAGGGAGTTGCATTTAAAGGTTGGGAAATCTTGCATGTTTGTATATGCTTTCACATTTGTTAGACTTATACATTAATGATTATGAATTTTATTTATTTTGAACTCCCTTAAAAATATTATTCATGAGGGTTTGTATGGTTTTAAAAATTCAAACAACGATGAACCCATACTCATAGTTTAAATATTTTTCACATTTTTTCGTACTTGTAAATTAATTATTATAATTTTATTAATGTGTTTGGTATTTTTAAATTACTTGATACTTTTATTTTTAATGTGTTTTATAATTTTTCAATCTCACTTTTTAGTATACTATAAATATAAATAAATAAGTAAAACTTTTTTTAAATTTATATAAAATAATAATACAATAATACATATTTAATATACAATATATTCATATAGATTATGATTATTGTAATATATAGTAAGTCTTTGTAGTTGTTCATAAAATTAAAATCAGCAGGATAATTTTTTTTCTTAATGTGTCAAAACGGGTTACCCATATGTCATCTTCGTGTAAACCTGTTAGTGATCCATTATTAACAGGTTCTTAATCGTAAAACGATATAACGATCCGATTAGTTATCGTGTTGATCCAAAACCCGTTATTTTTTTGTTCCACTTATCGTATTAACAAGTTGTGTATAAAATTACTAGATCTACCCTTTAGTGTAAAAATATGTTGATGTACTTAAAAAAAAAGAGTTAATGATAATTTTATGTTCCAGTGGAAATATGACCTCTCATTTTTGTACCCTAGTTAGTTGAATTATTAAAAGGAAAATTTATGAAAAATGCTTGAAAACTTTGAGTTTTAACTGTAAGGACAAAATAAAGGATAAATTGAATAGTACCATGATTAATTTTTTAATATAAAAATATGATTTTCGTTAAAATGAAAAATACGGTAGCTTTTCGTTAAAGTTCCATTATTAAACTCCAGACTCCGGAGGGAGAGTACTCAATCATATTCGCCCCTCAACTAGTCTACAGTCTATTGGTTGTTGAAAATGCTAGTGGGTTAATGAATGCCCACAGTGATGCTGAAAACCTTGGTAAAATTTTTCAATACCCACACAGATTGGATTTGCAACATTGGCAGACGAATGAAAACATTGGCAGTGTTGATATGTGGACTTAGAAATGAAGGAGATCATTTTTCAAAAGGTGTGTTGTAAATTTCAAACTGTAATAATACAGAGTTGCTCTACAAATTGAACACTCCTACTGCTAAAGAAAAATAAAAATGAAAGATGGATGACATCAGTACCTACTCTTTTATTTGTCATTTTCTTATGCTATAATTACAATACAATATTTGCTCCTGTTACTGGAAAAGGTTATGTATCTAACTTTGGCCTATTTATAACACTGGTCAATTTGTTTTGTTGTTTACTCGGAAGAGATGAACCCAAAGTTAAGGTTGATTGCAGGAGTACTTGCGGTGGTGGCCGCAGCGTTGGCCGTCAACCCACCTGACTACTGGAAGCTCTTTGGGCTTGGAGTAGCTCCGATTCCGGGCTCCATTGACCTCCTCCACACTGCACAAGTCATCCCTGTTCCTGGAGCCTTGGGACCCGAGAGTCTCGCCTTCGACCCCACCGGAGATGGGCCCTACACCGGCGTCGCCGACGGCCGTGTTCTCAAGTGGGATCGGAACAATCGCCGGTGGACTGATTTTGCAGTCACTACTTCCCAAAGGTAACCAAAACTGAACCCAATCTTTATATTATCAAATCATTATTTATTGTTTTTTTTTTTTTTTTGCTAAATTTAGTTTGCATGTTGCGGGTGTTTGCGCTTTTGCCAGCATGATTTGCATTAGCTGCTTATAATTTTTATTTATTTCTTTGACAGTCAGTTCAATTAATTAGCCCGCCACTCAAGAAATTTGATTTGGGTTCCTCCATTTCTTGCCAAAATTTACAAATGTTTGATGATTTAGCAATTTGAACAAATGGATTGTAAAGATAATTTCAATAGCATTTTACCTAGTTCTTGTGTCATGTGTCGTTATCCTATCGTGCACTGGAATTACAATCGTTGGATCGTGTGAATGATCAAATTCGAGTGCATCGATGGTGGCACACCTAACACCTTGTGGCAAGAAGAACCACACTTGTGAGTTACAAAGAGGAGAACAAATTTGAGAAAATCTTACTTGGCGTTTGTGTGGAAGAAATTTGTGTTCTTTTTGTCTGATGAATTAATGCAAACAGATTTTCTTTAGATTAAGAGGATTCTGGTCTGGTCAATTTTTAACTAGTCACCTAGAAATTATAAATTCAGTTGAAGTAGAGTTCATGCTTACCATCTAAATGGGATCTACTTGAATGGAAAATGCATGATTGAACTTGCAGAGGACTCGAACCTTAAGGTGGAAGCTAGCTACTTGCTTGTTAAAGGTGCTTGCCCACGGATATTTGTAGATCTCCCTATAGATGATTGTGTCACTTTCAATCCTTGGTGTTAGTAGCAGGTATTAGGTGAGAGGGCGCCTATCTCATAGCTGTTATTGTGCTTTGAAGATTCTTTTCCAGGGTTTAACAAGCCAGCTACGCACCTTGCGCTTAAAAGCAAGTAGCTTTTATTTGGGAATAGGCTGTAAGTAAAGTAGTATGAGTTGAAGTGAAGGGCGCTAGTAAGTAATAATAAGTAGAGCGGAAGACTGTTGGCTGAACAAAAGACGTATGACTTGAGAAAGTCAGATCTCCGATCGGTTGTCGGGAAAAGGAGCTCCTATGGTACTTTAGAATAAGAATAATGGAGACTAACAGGTAAATGCAAATATGGTCCTCCGGACTTGAAGCCAAGCATAGGCCTTGCTGTTGCTTTAAAGCTTGGACTTAGCCGGGGAACCTCAGTTAAACAAACGAGTAATCTAAAGAGTCATCTAATCCCACCACCCGCCCCACACCCCCACCCCCCCCCCCCCCCCCCCCCCCCGGCCGGGGGCAGGTATGGAGTTGGCAGCATTTCAAGGTAGAAGTTAAACTAGAGATGGTAGTTCCAGTATGAAATAGAAAGGAACAGATTAAAGGCTTTGTCCTACTATAATATAAGGAGTAGCCAACGCTACCTTGTAACCTTGAAGTAAGGATCTGGAAGCTCAGGAGCAAGAGTAAGAGTAACTCATCTAATCCCACCACCTCCCCCCCTCCGGCAGGCAGGTAAGGAGTTGGCAGCATTTCGAGGTAGAAGTTAAACTAGAGATAGTAGTTCCAGTATGAAATAGAAAGGAATAGATTAAAGGTTTTGTCCTACTATAATACAAGGAGTAGCCAACGCTACCTTATAACCCTGAAGTAAGGATCTGGAAGCTCAGGAGCAAGAGTAAGAGTAACTCTAGTTGTGAACAGTTCTAGTTCTATACAAGACAGATAGTAACTGTAGCTAACAAGTGTTCCCTGAGTGCAATCCTACTTGTGCTCTTTCTACTATATTGGCAGAACAGGGGCCAAGTTATATAGGTATGGGCATGAAGCTACAGGTTCTATTTGCAGTTGTGAGAGAGAGTTCAGAGGCAACTTGTTATAAAGGTATCTGTGCGTGTTAATAGATCTTCTATGCAGGTAGTAGCATTAATGGGTGACTCACTTTCTTAGGTAAGGTTTAGTTTCTTTATTAGAAGAATAAGCACAGTGTTACCTCTTTGTGTAGGCTATTGACTTTCTTGTTAGAAGTAGTTAACGAACATAAATAAGGCTATTTGATGTCTATAATTTAAGATTGGGTGAATGCCCACTCCTTGGGTATGCTTTCAAAAGGGTCTTTTTCATACGTGCCGGTGTTCCTGGTCTGATGGTTTTCGGTTCTCGTGGGGGAAGGCGGGATTGGCATATATACAAGTTGAGAGTGTTCCTGGGCATGTGTGCTCACCAGAACTACTAATAACGGGATTTGCCTGCAATACATGTAAGGGGAATGGAACTCTTGTTTGAAAAGTTTAGCTGCGTTACCTAGCTCAGCTTCTCCTATGGCTTTTTGGATTATGGAAGTAGGGTAATGTGCAGACAAAGAAGGCCAAATAGTCTTTCTGCATGCAAAATGATTTAATCCCATGTACTTCTTTGCAACTTGTTCTAGGAGTTCAGAATTTATAGTCTCTGTAGTAATTTCCTGAAGCACATGCTTTAAGGAGCAACTCAACTTCTTCCTCTGGCACGATGTAGCAGAGGATGTCAGGAACATATGAAATTTGTGCTTAACCCCATACTATTTGAGTAAAGAAACCCTGCTCCCTGAAACAAACTTCAATTCATGGAGCATTTACCTTAAAACACAATCATGCTATGAGACCCAGTATCACTTAATACCAATGTTTTAAAAGGCAGAGGCGTGGGCGAGGCGTCTTACGGATAGCCCCAGCCTCCTAGGCGCCCCCGACGAAGCCTAGGCTAGTTTTCGCCTACTCCCACAAAACAGAGGCGACTTTCCTCACGCCCCACCTCCAAGGCTGCCTAGGCGCGCCTTGGGGCGAGTTTTTTAAAACACTGCTTAATACCCAGTTTAGAGTTATACCAACATGGAGTTTTAATCGTGACAGGGTAAAAAAAAGATGAATAATATGGCTGCATGGTTATGCTATGCCAAAAGATTTACTTTTAAATATTCTGTTTATTTTATGTTCTTGCTGAGTTTCTGTCAATTTATACATGGCAAGGAGTCACATAGTTATCTGAAGTTCAGCTGAAATGGGGGATAGTTTGCATAATTCATAATGGTTATTGATTGCCCTCCAAACTCTGTTAAATTTAGTTCAGGCATAAAAAACTTACTGAGAGCATTCAACTCATAGCAATGCTTTTTTACTTTGTTAAGCTTTGATTAATTGAATGCTATTGTTTTCAAGGAAGGAATGTGTTCGCCCTTTCGCACCAGAAATGGAGCATGTCTGTGGAAGGCCTTTAGGATTAAAATTTGATAAGAAAAATGGAGATCTTTATATCGCTGATGCGTATCTTGGCCTTCAAGTAGTAGGTCCTGCTGGAGGGTTGGCATCTCAAGTGGTCAGAGAAGTTGAAGGTCAGCCACTTCTCTTCACCAATGACTTGGACATTGATGAGCATAAGGATGTAATTTACTTCACAGATTCAAGCACAATCTTCCAGAGAAGGTAATTTAAGTACAAAGTCTTACATTATCTCCTTATGCATATGATATGATGAGGGTCTTACTTTCTGCATCCCCCTCAGTTTTTGTCAAGGAACTATCTGATGGCGGATGTTCAGTGGTATGACATGTCAAAAGTTCAACGGTTTAATCTTCAAATTACCTTTTCAATTTTCATGTGAATAGTGCATTCCAGATAAACTTCTTGTGCTAATTTGGCATCTAAGCTCTTTTGATCAAACCCCAGATCACGTTTAGTCTGCTTCACTTCAATGGTCACACATTATTCCTCCACATGTATCAAAACATGAAAAATCTTGTGTAAACTATAGATGAGTTGTCTGAAGAATGCACCTGGTAGAAAGATCAAAGCAAAAGTTATGTTTCAGTGTCATGGTACAGTTTAGCATTCTGTATGCGTCGAGTGTCCAATTGATTGGATACTAAGCTAATTGTGCCAGATTGAGAAAAACAAAGTCTTAGCTCTTTTTTTGTTCTCATCGCCATCATTATCCTTTATTTTTCGTAATCAAGATCCATTTTCATTTCTATTTTTTTACTCCATTGCTAAATGTAGGAATTGTTTTGAATTATTTGTTGAAACAACTTCCAAGTTTAGAATTTTGTGCTTCTGTGAGTTTGCAGGCAGTTCATGTCATCAGTCTTTAACGGAGACAGGACTGGCAGATTACTAAAGTACAACAAATCAAGCAAAGAAGTAACTGTTTTACTACGAGGTCTTGCCTTTGCCAATGGTGTTGCTCTGAGCAAAGACCGCTCTTTTGTGCTAGTAGCTGAAAGCACTACTTGCAGGATCTTGAGGGTTTGGCTTGATGGTCCAAATGCTGGAAATACTGATGTTTTTGCTGAGCTTCCAGGATTCCCAGACAACATAAGAAGGAACTCGAATGGAGAGTTTTGGGTTGCATTGCATGCAAAGAGTGGATTTGTATCCAAGTTTATTACCTCGAACACATGGGTTGGAAAGTCGATGTTAAAGCTTCCTCTCGACTTTAAGCGGCTGCATTCCCTACTAGTAGGAGGCAAGGCCCATGCAACTGCCGTGAAGTTGAGCGAGAATGGAGAAGTTTTGCAAGTTTTGGAAGATTGTGAGGGAAAGACTATGAAGTTCATTAGTGAACTGGAAGAGAAGGATGGGGAGCTCTGGATGGGGTCAGTTTTAATGCCTTTCATAGGCATTTATAAACTATAGAAAGTATGAAGCAATTAGCTTTTGATGTAATTTCAATAAAACATGTACTTTAACATGCATAGCAGAATCTGTTTGAATCATTTTCTCTCCTTGTTGTACAAACCTTATCAACGTTTCTGTTCCACTACTGAATAAAAATTACTGTTAGAAATGTTTCAACAATAGTTAGCTTCTGATCATGTCTTTGTCGCTCATTAAAACACTCCACCACAAAGGAATGTAACCAATAAGGGAGACTTGCGTGACCAGGTGTATCGCTATTGTTGCGTCCCAAGTCACTATTATTGGGCTATGTGAAGAGTCTTACACAAAACCTTGTCGTATTTGTGGTCTTGGAAGCCGAAGTAGGGATGGACCCATTTGTGTTAGTGGTTTGGGCGTCATTATAACGATAAATTTGTTTTATATAAGTCCTGATAACAAAGATATACGTGATAAGAATACTGAAAAACATCAAACCCATGCATTAAAATACCCAAAAAACGGAGCTAAAAAAAAATCTTCATAGAAATAGGTGGCAAAGAAGTACTTCAGAAATTTTTGGGTTAAAAATGAATAAAATTATGGACTAAAAAATTCCTATTGGTAAGACTTATTATTATGGTACGACATTAAAATATATGATTTAGATTTATAAATATCTTTCACTTAAGAATTAATAGGATTGATTGAGAGGTAACCTTGCAATACATAAGGACTTGTCCATGCTCTTATAGTACACGCCTTATTCTAGTGTTGAACCATATTCAACACCAAGACACTTCAATTGCCGAGAGTAGAAGACGATTCTAAGTTCTTCGACATCAACCTAGTTTTCTTCTATAGATAAGTAATTTACTTTGATTTATTACATATGTAATCTTAATGTCTTGTTGTCGAGCTTTTCATGATAATATCTTACACATATTTGGTTCAAGTGCAAATTTCAATTTTCATTTAAGAAACTATTGTCATGCACTTGCATTGCCTGTGGCCGTAATATTAGTGAGGCCGTTGAGCCCTTATATGTAGGGTGGTGATATTCACATATCATTTTTTATCTTCAACACACCCTCTATTAATTTCTATTCTTGGTCATGTTCTAATTATTAAGTACTGAATTCTTAGTTTCAAAACTATTCCATTGTTGGGGAGACTAAATTTCTAAACTAAATTTTGTAAACTAAATGATGTGATTGTTGATGATTGGATTATTAGCTAAGTGTTGATTGCTTACTTTCTATTATTGACGCATCATTTAGTTTGCAAATTTAATTTAAAATTTTAGTTTTCATAGCATTATCCTTTTCGAATTGAAGAGAAGTTAGGTTTTCTCAACATCTTTGTCTTCAGGGAAGTTAAATGCATCTTGCACAATTTTTTTAACACTAAAAAAGTGCATGATTTGAATTAAGTTAAACGATGAACAAATCCTAACAAATTAATATCAAACTCGTCATTCACATAAAAAAATAAATAGGTAAAATGTCCGTCACCTGCAACTTTTCTTCCCAGTTCCCACACACCACCTGGCTGGCTCCGGCAGTGGGAGCGCACTTTAAGGTACTATTGCGTCCTCGATAAGTCCTGTAAATTAATTACTTACATGCACTACCATTTGACGTGTTGTGTATGTATGCATATAGCATTAGTATTACTGCATCTGCTGCTGCTGCTTAATCCCTCCAGTTTCCACAAGCATGAAGCCAAAGCTGATGTTCTTGGCAGCAACCATAGGCGTTGTGGTGTTTTCAGTCTTGATTTCCCGCAACGCCGTCGCGTCGGGTTTCCGTCTATCAGTAATACTAAAAACCGAGCAGCAGCAGCGGTAAATCTTTCAAATCGCCATAATTTTGAAGTTGTTCCGATTGTAGTGGGAAGTAGTAATAGTAGCAATGCTGCTTCTGCCGTTGGTCCTGAAAGCTTCGTCTTCGACGCTCTGAGGTCCCTATACTGGAGTATTGGATGGCCGTATCGTCAAATGGGATCAGCATAAACACCGGTGGATCAATTTCGCTCTAACTTCTCCAAATAGGTACATATCTCCTCTATAATTATCTGCTTTTTTAATGTTTTTCTCTATGTTCTTTCTTTGTTTTTTTGTATCCTTAAAAACAAGTTTTTAATAACATGAAATTATTATTTGTATATACACAAATGATATTTAATTAAAGAGATCCAACATAAGACCTCGGGTTCAGGAGTGAATGTTTTCATGAACCCAGATCCTTTCTGGATCTAAAAAAACTGAGTTTAAGGATCAAATGATCCGAGCTATTGAAATTTGATCCAACGGCTACAATTGTTATAACTTTTAGAGGAGTCCCCTTTTTGTAGCCGTTGGATCAAATTTCAACAGCTTGGATCATTTGACCCTTAGGCTCAAGTTTTTTAGATCCAAAAGGATCTGGGTTCTGTTTTCGTACCTAGGTTCATGGTTTAGTTTTAGGCGGTGTTTAAAATACCGGTATTGATAAAAATATCGATATGCAAATTTGCGGAAATATTGACGGATATAACAAATATAGATATCGATTGCTTTCGATGGAAATGATGGAAATTTAAAATGAAACTTCAGGGATTTTCAAATATTAGTTTGGACAAAATATAAGAGTTTCTCGGATATTGAATAGATATGTTAGAAATATCGACGATATATGTTGATTTTAGCCTAAACTTACAAGTTTATCCGATATGAGGTGAAGTTTGGACTTCACCCCAATTTCCATATATTTCTCTGATTTTTTGGATATTTACCTGGAAATATCCACTCCATCACAGAAATATTAAACACTGGTTTTAGGTGAAATTATTAGGGGTGTGATATTCACACAACCCATTTTACTTTTCACACACCTTTCTAATATTCAGCCGTTAGATCGGATGAATTGAAGAAAATCAACGAATAGAAATTAACAAGGGGTGTGTAAGAAGTAAAATAGGGTGCGTGGATAGGACACCCCAATTATTATTATTATTTTGAACAAACGATATTATCTAAGCCTCATAATGGGCTAGCAATAATGTGGTTCAAATTCATCTTTAACAAAAATCGAACATAACCTCTTATTTACAAGTGAAGAGAAAACTATTAGAAATTAAGTTGTAATATTTATTGTTACACAAATAGGGGTGACTGCATGCCCTACCATTGTGAATGTATGGTGTAATGGACTAATGGAGGAGATAACTGGTTGCCCTAAGAGACAAAGGTCAGCAGCTCTCACTCCCAAAGCCAGTCAGATGAGTTTGTTGGTTGCATAGTGGCCCGGTGGTCGATCAGACGTACTTTTGTTTGTACGGATCCGCTGATGGTAATGGCCAATTGGCAATCGACTGTCAGTGTTGGAGAAATTTGTTTTTGCATCCGTTGCATGAAACGAGTGTACTGCATTTCTTGTATATGCTACAGACATGGAATAATTTAGCAATTTAAAATACTTGTTTTGTGCAACACGTGCAAGAATGTTTTATCCGTGGTATTGGGGCTAGCTAGCTCCTAGCTGCAGCTAGTACTTACCCCTCAGCAACCAAACTTTGTACTAAACCTGATTAAACAAGCCAAAATTTTGAATTCTAGGGTTGACAAATGAATTTCACGTATTGATTTAAAACATCTTCCGATTTTTCTAAGTATTTCTTGTTGGTTTATGTTTTCTCTTTTGGCACAGTGCAAAAAATTTGGTGATATAGTAAAACTCTATAATCTGTATAGGAATAACCTCCAAAATAGTTATAGAAAGTTTCGGGTCCAACTTGGGTAAGTTATATATAAGAATAAATTTTATATTGTAATAAGTATTATATTTTAGGTCCCGTCTTAAGAAATTTGTCTTTACATAGTAATAATTGTCAATAAAACCTTAATCATAAGAAAAAATGATTGCAATCTTCTATTGGAGTATGAGATACTTATCATAAGAAAAAAAATGAGAATATAAAGTAATGGGGATATGAAAATCAGCACTCAACTGTTTGATCAAATGTATAGAAAACTAACATACAGTGTGTTGAAATTACGCAGTCCTTTCTTGTACTTATTAGTGTGTAAGCAGTTTCTTATATGTAATATACCTAGAAACTAAGAGCACCGCAAGGCACAAAAACTTGTGCTCAGTATATTAATTGTTACTGCTTAGGTACGTAGAAATTAACTTGCTCAATTAAATCGGTTAGCAGAGATGGTTGTGAAGGGTCACATGAACACGATCAAACCGAGCACATTTGTGGCGTCCATTAGGCCCTTGTTTCAACCAAACAACTGGTGACCTTTACATTGTTGATGCTTACATGGGGCTCCTCGTTGTGGGCCTTGAAGGCGGCTTGGCTACTATGGTGGTGACACATGTACATGCCATTCCATTTGGATTTACCAATCGCTTAGACATTGACAGTGGCGGAGCCACATGAAAATTCGGGTAGTTCAGGACCTATCCTGGAATTTAAACTTATATTAATTGTCTACTGAGTTTTGCAAGAATGAGAATGTAGTGTACTAGTAGATCAGATTTTGGACCTATCATTAGGTCCTGGGGTTGACACTTGCTGATGGAAAACTGACTAGCTAGATTTAGCTACGAGGAGAGGAAGGTTAAATTTTTGCTAAGCATTAAAACCCATAAAAGTGGACTGTTTGTGGGCTTCAAGAAAAGGGCTTGAGTTGTTAGGTTTAAGAAAAAATAGTATTAAAATATTTCAACTTAGCCTAAAATGGCTAGTATTATTATAAGCGATAGCTAGTCAAATTAACATTTGGATCATTTGACTAGCTACAATAACAAAAATTTAGCTAGTACTGTTGGAGATGCACATACTCTAATACTATAACCATTGGTCACATGGAACAGGATAACATTGGACTAACAGATTTTAAGAGCAAGGAAGGTCAAGGAGCCATGAAAATGGTGACAAACTCATTTCTCAGCATTGTCCTGAGTCAAGACGCCCGCCACGCGCACACCCATATCAATGCCTTTCAGATGATCGGAATGTCCTCGTGTCTAGACCTCTCCGGCTTCTTTGAGAATGAGGTGAGGATAAAATGATTTATCTTCTTGTTTGCAATTGAATGTTTCGATTTTTGAAATGAAGTTGAAACATGCATTTGCTTCCGTTAACTCTCAATTTGGTCTCATGTTTTTGGGGTCTCACTCTCACATTATACCTTTTTCTGGCATTTTTCTTGGTAGTATGGTCTCTAGAGCCGACATGAATGAAGTTTATGCTGAATTTGCCAATTCCATCGACTCCCGAGAAGCCGTCGAGAATTCCCATGTGGAAAGGTGCCCTGAGAGCCTACTTTATCAACGCATTTGCTATTTCCCGGTGGCCCTTCCTTATGGTGTTTTCAGTGCTTCTTCTCTGCATAGATCTCTCCAGCTGGTTGTGCTCAATAGTCAAACGTTAGCAAACAAAATCCACATGCTTAAAGTTGTTCTGGTTTGATTTCACGAATGGTGGTCGTTTGAGTATCCCCCCATCGTCTAGGGTTCAGACATGAGAAGAGCGAGAGTCAGATTCTTGTGTTGGTGCTGGAATAAGGTGTTCTATCGTTGAAGTTATCAGTTATGAATCTCGGTAATAACGAATGCATCTAGAACTGGACACATATGCATGCATGCATTTTCAATGGTTGCTTGCTGCTACTGCTTTCGGCTCGACTTGTACCTGCCCTTGATCCAATTTATGCCCTAATGAGCTGCTATTTTGACCCTATTCATACCATTTGATGCCGCAGATTTTATTCTTTCAAAACCATAACTGAACATTTTTTTTATCCAATCCTCCTGTTCGATTCAGTCTCTTGCCCAATTACTCAATTCTAGCTCCGAATTCGAATCGCAGACTGGAGCTACGATGAGAGCGCATGATAAAGTGCCGGTCAATTCGAATTCGATGCGCGTGACTTTGCTTCTTTTTTTTTCATGCAAAATTAGGAAGCTCGATACTTTGACGTAGAATCGGAGTAAGTAATGGTATTATTAGCATTAAAAAAATCTCAATACACTCTTCATAAATGTATATTTCTTTCTAGTTATTGAAAATTAGGAATATGAGATATTTGAAATGGACATGAATGTCTGGTTTTACCACTTGACATCGATCAAGAAGAGAGAGTAGTGTATTTCACAGATAGCAGCTCAAAATATCAGAGAAGGTACACTATCTACACACACACATATATATATGTTAGGCTTAAGGTTTAGGGCCCTAAACCGTACTGCATGTACAGAAAGCCCCAACAAGTTGTGGCTTACTCAGCTGCCTTGGGGCAAAAGTTTTCCGTCCCATCAGTGCCTAATGATATAGTACTTCCTTTTCAGGATTCACATTTCTGTGACATTGAGTGAGGATAAAACTGGAAGACTAATGAAATATGACCCGAAAACCAAACAAGTACAATTTGTTCTTGAAAACCTGTCATTCCCAAATGGGGTGGCATTGAGCAAAATGGGGGACTTCATTCTAATTGCAGAGACCACACATTGCAGGATTCTAAGGTACTGGTTGAACACCTCTAATGAAGGAACTTGTGAAACGTTTTCTCAACTTCCGGGATTTCCAGATAACATTCGAAGGAGTCCTAGAGGAGGATTTTGGGTGGGAATCCATTCGAAAGGACTATGGATATTGAAGTGGACTCTTTCATACACTTTGACAAGAAAGACTGATGTGATATTAACTAGCACACAAATTAAAACCCTATGATTGTAGTATATGAAAGTAGGGATTGTTTTAGGCCGGGGATTAGAAGGGATGCTAATCTACCCAAAACTGACTTAAAAACACAAAACTAAACTTAAAAACATTTAACTAGACTTATATGACTCAAAACAAACTAAAAAAGCTCAAAACAGCACAAAACAATCAAATAGACTCAAACTAGACTCTAAAGGGTGATTTGTTCGAATTCTAACTTAACTTTGACTCAAAACACTTAAAAACATAAATTTGGACAGATTCTAACTAAAAGACACAACCAAGTAAAGGGGGATTGGATTTTGGACAAAATTAAGGTAAAAACAAGCAGATTGTAAAGACTCTAAACAACTTGGACGAAATTGGGTGATATATGGGTGAATGGCTAGCTAGAGGGTTCATCTCCACACATGACACATATGCATACAAATCGATTTCCAGTTATTATTCCTTTAAACCATGAATGACAATGCCCAAGTTAATTGCATCGCAGAACCAACCATCAGATTTTCTTTATTTCATTGAATTGAATGAATACGCATTAGAACTAAATTATCTTTCTCAAGTTCCCTATATGAAACGCATGATAGATATACATATCAAAAGTCATTAAATTCTATGAAAATCATAAGCATTGACAAGGCATTCATCACTATAAAATGCATGAGACTCCTGCCAAGGATTCACTTAACACAATCGTAACTAGTGACATCCACTACTTGTGAATATAAGTGAATAACTATTACATGAAACTCCATTATATTCTAGCATGAAATTCATGCATGCAAACTAAGTAGGCCTCCTTAATCAACATACAAGAATAAGTTATTGATGAGTCAATTTCATATTATATATTTTACCCTATTCTTAGTATATTTTGGTTAATATTCTAGAAGAATTTTGATACTTTGAATTGTATTTTCAATATATAATTTTCGACTTCCTCTAGAGAAAAACAGGATCAAATGGACGAATTTTGGAGTAATTCCAGTTGGAGGACGACCGTGAGTCACTTAACTTGATTGTATCAAAATATCATATTTCTCTACCAAGCGATGATTTTCTGGCGATAAAATAAAGGAGCGATGCGCAGTGCTAGAATAGTGACGTTTTGGACTTAACTTTTGTTTTTTCGGATGGGTTCGTGGCCTTCTGGAGATGTGTTCAGAACGTTCTTATCTTTAAAACAAGTTATTATGGGCCGGATTTAGAGGAGATTTGAGGCTAAAACGTGGTTGGATAAGTACTTGGAAAATTCTCCTAGTTTAATTAGGGTTTTATTATCTAAGATATTTTATTATTATTTAGTTTCCTAGTTGGAATAAGAGACCTATGTTTTAGGGTTTGTGTGATGGCTTAGCAAATATATTGCTTGGCCATTCTTAATCTCTAGATACGCTTTATTTTATGCTACTTTGGAGACAGAGAACTTGGCTAGGGTTCTTGGAGATTTTCTACTTTAAGGTGTTTTCATTCCTTTTATTCTTAATAATATTTTCTATGATTTTCATTATGAATATGCGTAACTAATTCCTTTTGCTAGGGTGAAGTCTTAAGCCTTAGCATGAATATGTGATTTTTATTTAATTGCTTATGATTGATTGCATGCATACTTTGAATTATTGATCACCGTGATTAAAACTATCTAATTGTCTTAATGCCTGATCACCATTAGGATCTTTAGAAAAGTAATTTGATGCAATTTTGGTCAGAAGGCTCCCTGAAATTGGTGCTGGCTTCTTGTGATTAATAATTGTAATTTCACTTAAGATGAACACCACGTCTTAAGGGTTGCATGGTTTTTCAAAGGGTTTTCATAAAGCATAATAAGTCTTTCATGTTCAGATTCTATCCGAACGTTCGGACAGGTTGCATATTAGATATACGTTCTATGTTAGAGGTTCCAAGTAGAATATAAATTAAGAAAACGTAACCTTCAAAGTGGTATGTGTAGATCATAAGTAATTGGTAAAAATACATAGGATTGCTAAGTGATGGTGGAACCCAAGTGCTTTTATAAATTGGTATTTAAAACTCTTTTCTTTTGTCATATTGGTTTTTAATTGAAATTCGTTTTTAATATTATCCAATTTCATAATCTCTTTTCTCAATTTTTAATTTTAAGTATTTAATTAAGAATTGTTTCTACATAAATTATCCAAATAGTCTTTGAGGAGAACGACCTTGCATGAGCATCTATACTACAATAGTCTTATATTCTTGCAAGTATTTCATGTGTTTTTATACCTACTTTTGTGGATGGTAAAAATCATATCAGTTATCAATCAAGCAGTTAAGCAAATTGCATTCACGATTTATGAAACAATAATTGGATGAAATCAATTCATATCACATATATGTTCATGGCTTTGAATTCACCTCTAACTAAAACGAATTTAGTTCCTCATGTTCGCAAAACAAAGATAATTAAATTTAAACATTGAAAACAAAGAATAGAATACACCTAGAAACGCTCCAACAATCCAACGTTTTGAATGGCAAGCATGGTTCCAGGTGTGGTGGATGGTGTGGTGTGAAATTGTGGTAGAGGGTGGTGATTGAATTATGCGGCATAAACATATATTTATAGGCTTAGGTGTGGCACAAAAGTAGCTTAGGAAAAGGTTTTAACACTTCAAATCCTTAAGGAAAAGGTCAGCTATATGGCAGAAACCAAAGAGGAAAAGGAGAGAGAGGTGCGGTAGATTCCTAGGGGGAAAGGGTTACTTGTTTGCATGATTTTAAGACTCCTTAAATCAGATAGGAAGTGGTTTAATGTGATAAGGAATCCCCCTTGCAGCTGGAGATAAGGTAAGATAGGATTAGGATAAGATAAGATAAGGTTGGATAAGGTTTGGATAAGATAAGGTAACTTGGATAATGTTCCTTCTTTGTAGCTGATTCCTTATCTTCAATGCTTCCAAATTTGTTTCTCCAGATATTAAGCATATTCCTAGTCTCTCTTGATCTTCAAATTCGTTCATCCACCTTACTCCATACTTATGTTATCCATTCCAAGCCCAAAACTGCTCTAAAATACTCCAAATTGCACTTTCTTGCCAACTTTGTCATTTGAACCTGAAAATACACGAAAATAGTCTACAACACTCTAATAAGTAGAAACTAACTCACTAAATGCAAAGAAACATGCTAATAAAGTCACATAAATATGCTTTTATCAAAGACACTGCTTTAGCTCATTCCCCTTGACATTACGAAAGCTTATTCATACATGGCAAAGTGGACTACTGGGAGTGGCTTTGCAATCAGGTTGAGTGAGCAAGCTACTGTGCTGGAATTGCTTGAGGATACAAGTGGAAATAGTCTAATAGATGAAAGTTTATTAGTGAAGTGGAGGAGAAAAATCAAACTCTTTGGATTGGATCAGTAAATATGCCATTTGCATGCAAGTATAGAATCGAAGTTTTATATTTTCTTTATAGTTTTGTTTTTTCATGTAGACTTTAAATTAGTATGATATTTTGGAAACACTTAGAATTCATGAATGCTTAAATTGTTTTCTTCTCATTGGAAGGAAATAAAATAAATATATATATATATATATGCATATATATAGTTGTTCGACTCTAATCACAATTAACCTAGGAAATCTAGGAAACTTACTAAGGAAAGGAATCCTCAATACAATTAAATCACAATATTTACCTTCCTATTCTAACACTTCCCCTCAAGTTGGTGCAAAATATCAAACATGCTCAATTTGCCCAAAAGTTGTGCAAATATCCTATTTGACATTGCTTTTCTTAAGACATCTGCAAGCTAATATTCCAACTTGACTTTTGGTATCTTAATAATCTTTCAGCCTAGTTTCTCCTTGATGAAGAACCGATCTACTTCCACATGCTTCATTATCACGATGAACTGGACTGGCACCTCACACGGCTTAACTATCACAATACAACTTTATGGCCTTAGCATTTTAGTAATTCCCAAAGCAACTCTTTTATAATCTGCTTTGGCACCTGAGCGAGCAAAATATTTTGTTTCTTACTTCTCCATGTAACCAAATTACCTCCCACAAATGTAAAATAACCTAATGTTGACCGCATGTCATTAATCAATCATGCCCAATTGGCATCTACATATATTTCAACCTCCAAATAACCATTCTTTGAGATCAAGACCCCTTTACCTGGAGCTGACTTCACATGTCGTAAAATTCACATTAAAGCATCCATATGTTGCTTCTTAAGATTATACATAAACTGACTTATCACACGTAAAGCATGAGCCAAGTATGGCAGCATATGAGTTAGATACATCAATCTTCCTACTAACTGTTGATATCTTTTCTTATAACACGGTGATTGATCCGAATGAAACCACTACTTTGAACATTCTTCTAATGGCATATCAACTAGCTGACAGGCTGACATTCCTTTGTGACAGAAATATACCATCCTTTGAATAGGCCACGTTAATACCAAAAATATTTATGTGGACCAAGGTCGTTCACCTCAAATTCTTAGGTCAAATGACTTTGCAATGCGTGTCACTCCTTAGGATCATCACCAGTCACCACCATATCATCCACATAAACAATGAGTACAATAATCTTTACCTTTCTTCTTCTTCTTATTCTTCTTTTTCTTCTTCTTTAATAACAAAGTATGATCATAATCACTTTTTTTTGTAACCGAAGGATCTCATAGAGTTTGTGAATCAACCCAACCATGCCTTCAGTGACTGTTTGAGACAATACAATGATCTCTTTAATCAACATACTTTATTCTGATGTTTGGCCGGCTTGTTCGAACCAATGGGAGCTCTATGTATACTTGTTCAGTTAATTCACCATGCAAAAACATATTCTTCACATCAAATTGGTGCAAGTCAATCAAGGTTTGTTGCTAGTGCAAGAAATAGAGTTGAATTTCGCTACTGGAGCAAATGTCTCATAATCAATTCCATACGTCCGAGTGTATCCCTTTCCCACAATCCTTACTTTGTATCTTTGGATCGATCCATCAAAGTTATACTTCACTGTCTAAACCTATTAGCACCCTACATGTTTTTTATCTGGCGGCAATTCAACAATCTCTCATGCCTCATTCTTTATCAAGGACTCCATCTCTTCTTCCATTGATACTTTCCACTTTAGATCGGCAAAAGTTTTCAGCATATTGTTAGGAATAGATACTAAGGATAATTGATTCACAAGTATTAAATATGACTTTGATTACCTATGGGTTGACACATAATTGCCCATGGAATATTTTACTTTGCTAGTAAGGTCCAGCTCATATGTGACTTTCATGATACCTTTCATGCTACAAGGAAGAAGTTCTATTCAGGGTATATCAGACAAGGATTGGTTCGAGAGTTTCATAGATTGATGAATATTGGGCTATTGAATGGTAAAATTTAGCGTAGACATGTCAGGATTAAGCAATAGATTGTGGGTCATCAGGCGACCAATCTGTTGGAAATGTGCCCTAAAGTCAATCATATGATGATACTTTACATACATTTTACATGTTAAACTAATCTAGTTTAATATAAGGGCAAAGATTATTGTTTAAAGACGCCTCATATAAACGTTATATGCTTGAACAATAAGTCCAAAGAACATGTAATTGAGAGAATGTGATATAAAGAAATTAGATTTATGAGAACATTCTCTTTCATACACATATCATAAATGTTCCTTATCATAAGATTGCCAATTAGGCATTGACAGTCCGATCAGTATGTGTTATGTCTTTAGAGTGACTGGTCTCGAGTCATTGGTATGATTGACACTAAGACAAGCATGTAGGTGTTCAATAGAGAATGAGTCCATTAAACACGATTAACAAGGAGTACTCATACTCATGTCACATGAGAACTCAAGGTTGGGATAATGCATAGTAATCATTTGACATTAGGCATCATAGTTGTCTTGTGGTTAGGTCCTTGATCTTTGACTGTGTCAAAGGCACTCCATTAGAGAGTGTCCACAACAGTTGGGGTTAAGCCACTCAACTATAGAAGCAGGTGAATGCATAACAAGGGATCTATAACCTTCAAATTGTTGAGGGAGAATACTCTACGATATGATTAAGAATCTCTAGCAAAGGTATGAATAAGATTTAGGAAGTCGTTCCAAATCACATTCAAGGTAATCATTTAAGTAAGAGAATCACATTGGATAGTAGATATGAATAAACTTTCAAACCAAACAATGTGATCAAGAGTATTGTATTAGAGAAAGACCGTATTGCATTTGTAATCCCAAACTGAATAGGTTCTCCAACCTCTTCTGATTAGCTTGGGTAGCCATGACATACTGCTAGGTATCACTCATGACTTGTGGTGTATAATCACTAAAGGGAGAATTGAAAATAAGTTTCAATTCATAATTGATTAGTAAGAGTTCTAATCGCCCACTGTCTTACTAAAAGAAACCTAATGGGTCGTACGCCGTGTAAGGTAATGATTGAAGAAAATAATGAAGATGAGTAAGAACAATTAAATAGATTAATTGTATATGGCAAGGATTAAATAAAAGTTGATTAATCAAGAACGAAATGTTTGTTTTAGGCCCTAAGTTAGGTTTCGAGGCCCAAAAGGTTTTGGTCCATAAGGCCCATTAAGTTTAAGTTGTAAGACAACTAAAACAAAAATGAGCAAATAGCCCACTAAACATAGCATGGCCAATCATAAAGAGAAGGGATGGTGTTGGCCATAGAGAGAAGGGATGGTGTTGATAGACTTATTACAAGTTTGCCGCTCATTTGGAATGACTATAAAAGCAACTTTATAGCCTCATCCCTCATTAGGGTTTTCTTTGAGGAAAGATGAGAGAACTTTTGCTCTATTTCTCTCTAGGAGGCCGACCACCCTAGGAGAGTTTACTAGCATCAAACTCCTCCAATGTCGCTCATCTTCTTCCTTCACCATCTTTGGTTTTGAAAATTAGAGGTCTCCTACCTTGGGGACTTTTGAAGTCAATGAGCAAGGAGACAAAGGAAAGAAGGTACTCACATGGGTGATTAACCTTTGCTAAGCAAAGAGGTGTTTTAAATGTATAAAGAAATCTTAACTCTTTCTCTTAGATTTTGACTTGAGTCTTAGTTCACCAAAACTACTAGGTTTTGAATTTCATGATTTAAGTTTTTTTTTTAAAGTGCACAGAAACATGCTTCCACCATTTAATTGTTAAATGCATGTATTATGTTGCTTAATGAATTTAGTTGTTCACAAAGTTTCCTTCGCAACCGTGGGAATGGTCTGTTCTCATAATAGTTCTTTAAGATTGGCCAATCGGTCGTGGGTCTTTAGGTGACCGGTTGCTGGAATACTATGTTCTTTGGTCTATTTGCTGGTCTCAACGGCAGGTTAGTGAGCTCTTCTTGACATGTAGGTGTTGTTTCAATAACTAGTTCATCTACTTCAGTCAGTTGACATTCCCCATCTAAGTCCAAATTTTCACCACTTGTTTCCAAGTAAATAATTGAGTTTTGTGGAACATCGTTTGTAGGAGTAAATCCATGACCAAGCGTCTATACTTCACTTTTTTTCTCCCCCTGAAGTGCAAACTCATAAGCAAAATACATTGTGGATGCATGAAATACCACATCCATGGTCACATACATTTTTTTGTCAAGGATGATAACACCGGTAACCTTTCTAATTAGTGGTATATCCCAGGAATATACACTGAAGATCTTAATATTCAAGTTTGTTTGTTGATGCAGATAAAGATGAACAAATGTAGTATGGCCAAACATATGTGGAGGAAGATTGGTTGAGGTTGAAGCTTGAACAAGATGAATGAAGACCACATGAGGGATGTGAGCATACTAGAGGGAACTTGGTTGATCAAGTAGACGGCAATCGCAAAGGCTTCCCCCCTATTACTTCAATTGTGCATGACTCTCCAAGAGGGAAGCTCGAACAACCTCAAGAAATGTTGATTCTTCCATTGGGCCACCCCACTCTGCTAGGATGTGTAGGGACATATAGTCTAGTGAACAATACCACAATCGGATAAGTACTTTTTAAAATTCACACTCAAATATTCACCTCCATTATCACTACAAAACACCTGTATTTAAGCCTGTGTTGGCATTGAACCAACTTATGAAAAGTTAGAACAATTCATTCACTTCACCTTTGGATTTCATAAGACAAATCCATGTCACTCGAGTACAATCATCGATAAATATAACAAACCAAATAGCCCATCCTAAAGTAGTGTTCTTGGAATGACCTTATATGTCAGAATGAATGATCATAAAAAGAACTAAACTTCTATTCGAACTCAAAGAATATGAAATATAGTGGCTTTTAGCCAATTTACAAGTACCAAACTAAAATTGGAACACCAAACTTCGAAAATAAATTCGAAAATAACTTTTTCAAATAACCAAAAGAAGCATTGCCCTAGACGATGATGCCACAACTAAATCTCAGTTTTTTTTTTCTTCTCTCTTGGATGCATACATGAACAGGGGTTGAGTCAACTGTCTTGTGCTATCAGATACAAAATCTAAGTAGTAAAGCTTCCCTCCTCTAACCCCATAAGCAATTATCTGTCTTTTCCGAATATCCTTTAAACACACAATAGTACGGCCAGAAAATCACAATACAATGTAGGTAAAGGGTTATACAAGAAAAAAATAACAAATTATAATTCAGAGATGGGACAACTAGAACAGAATCCAAATTAAGATTATCAATAAGTGCAAATTAACCCTTGCCAATAACCAAGGCAGCGGTTCCATCATCGGTGGTTACATTAATTTTGGTGGAGGGTTCTAATTTTTTGGACCAGTCTAAAATCGATAGTCGTATGATATATAGCACCAGAATCAATTATCCATATACTATTCGAAACAAGTGTAGAGTTTGGAGAAACGGATTGATTGATGACCTGATTTCATTTTCTGGAATCCCTGCCATGATCTTACCATTATGGATAATCCACAATCTCATAGCAACGAGATTTGGAGTGGCCAAGTTGGCCATAATGATCACATGTTTGGTGAAGATAACTTCGAGTTGTGAATGCAGCAGCATTGGTTTTTATTTCGGCGGATTTCTTCTCCTTAGCCATGGTGACAAATTCTTGGAGGAGTTCGATTAAGGTATGTGGAATTTGAGAGCAGAGGAGGTGCGAAAGATGGCCATGGATTTGATTTGGAGTTTAGTACCTAAATTAAGTTCTCAGGTTTTCCTTGGTTCGATGAAAGTTGGCTGGACTGCAACATCCATCTTTGGTAGGCCACCGCAAAGGGCATTATGTGGATCAATGGAAAAGGACAAAATGGGCCACTTCTACTTTGGTGGAAGTTGGCTGGGTCGACGACTTCTTGCTTTGGTCGGACGCTGTTATGCTGACAGCATCGACAAAAAGTTTTATTTTCGTGACTTCTGACCTAGGTTCGTGATGCCAACTTATAATTCATGAATACGTCAATTGTATTCTTCTCACTAGAAGGAATTATACATACATACATACATACATAATATATAATCTACAAAACCTATTAAGGAAGGGAATCCTCAATACAATTAAATAACAATATTTATCTTCCCATTCTAATAGAAACTATATATAGTTTTAAATTTGATGTAATAAAAAATGTAAGAGGATAACATAATTTAGCAAATGGCTTGTAGCTCAGTTAGAGCATTAAAGGTCTATTCTCGCAAACACACACTCTATATATAATCAAAGGTCTATTGTTAATTTGAGCATTAAAGTTAGACATAGCTTCTTTGAACATGTATTTGCTAATTTGAGCGTATATATATAATAAGCCTCTACTCTCGCAAACACTCGCTCTATCTTAAATCAAAGGTCTATTACTAATTTGAGCATTAAAGTTTTGTCATAGAGGAGAATGACTGCTACAGAATGATTGTTTCATCATCTTCGATCTCTACAGGGACATGTGCACTATTTTTATTTTTATTTTTGTTTTGGGTTAAACTCTATTTACTGCCCTAAAGTTTCGTGGTTTTCAACATTTAGTACATGAAGTTTTTTTCGTCCCAGAGTCATACCTAAAGTGTTAATTTTGGGACAATCTCATACATCCGTTAGTCAAACTGTTAATCCTCCCGTTAAGTGATAACGTGGCACCCATGTGCACAATGACTGAGTGCCACGTGTCATTAAAAATATTAAATTAATTAATTAAATTAAAAATAAAAAATAAAAAAAAAGAAACCCAGAACCTTATCATCTTCCCCACCCAGCCCCCCTTTAACCTGACACCCTCCACCCCTTCATCCCCTCCACCCCCTCCACCCCTCACCCACTGACACCCTTCCCCTTTCCTGATGCCCACCCTTACCACCAAGCCTTTTCTCCTTCCCCAAAAACCCAACCCCTTCCCGTCCCCAAAAACCCCAAAATTCCTTGCCTCCCTTTGCACTGCAACCAAAACCCCCAAAAACCAAAATCAATTCAATCACATTACCTCAAAACCAACCCTAGAATCTAACATTTCAAAATCCTCCAATCCGAGAGCTCATAGATCTGATTTAATACGCTCAGAGCTACCATCATTTACCTCAGCGGCCAAAGCCGAATCGACACCAATATGTTATCCCCACCCTTAGGCACCTCAAGCATCTCTGCCAAAAGCTCCTCGGACGCAAACCCGTACCGTACCATACTGCATTGAATCGGAGCGGCCCACGTCCAGAGTTGTAAAACAACAAGGCAGAGGTCAAGCAGGAGCACGAAATCATTCAACCGTTGATCAATGAATAAGATGAAGAGGTCGGGAAGTAGGGACTGGATGGCTTCTGGTATAAGAAAGGCGAGCTGTTGCGGGCTCGTGAGAACGAGGCCATCTAGCTGAGTCAACTCAGACAGTGACTCAGTGAAAGAGATTTGATAAAATGTAGCAAATAAAAAACAAAAAAAAAAAAAAAAAAGGAGAAGGAAGGAGAAGTAAAAGAAAAGCAAAGTGATCCGACTAGGACGGCAAGTGCGACCGAAAGCAGCGAGCTCGACCAGAGAAATGGGGTTTTCAAGCTCTCGGAGTTCGTTGTATTTTGGGTTCTCGCCAGCTTGGTGGACATGGAGGTTTGGAGGGCGAAGGAGGTGAAGAAGAACCGCTGTGAGGAACAGCAGAGGCGAGAGAACCACGACACCATGGCCATGGCGATCTAGGAGGTACAGAGATGGAGGGGTGTCGGGTTGAAGGGTTTTGTTTTGTTTTTTTTTTTTTTTAATTATATATTTTAATATTTTAAATTTGGATGAGAATTTTTTTTTTGAATTTTTAATTTCCACGTGGATCCCTTAATGACACGTGGCGCCTAGTCATTGTCCACATGGGCGTCTCCTCACAATTAACGGGAGACTTAACAGTTTGACTAACGGATGTATGAGACTGTCTTAAAATTTACACTTTAGGTATAACTTTGGAACAAAAAAAATCTAATGTACTAAATGTTGAAAATCACGAAATATAAGGGTAATAAACAGTCTTTTGCCCTTTTATTTTTGTTCAAACATGTGCACTATTTTAAAGTCTGACATAGCTTCTTCTTCATCTGCTTCGTACCTTATAATTTCTCCAACAGTAGGGTATTAATAGTGGGTCCATAGCTTTGGCCCACTGATATACACCGTGGCTCTATTCATGGACAACATCAATTGCAAAAAGAGAGGGCCCATTTGATCGTATGGCCACATATTTGTCCAAGCCCAACAATTAATCTCAGTCTCAAGTCTCAAATCTTAATAGTGGAGTGGTCCCAATTTTTCAACCGTCCATGTTATATTTATGTGTAATTTTCAGCCACATACAATATGATAATGATCTGACATATTTCATCATGTGGCTGAAGATGAACAAAACGACTCCGAATGGGCCATTTGTGTGTGGACTATGTTCCTTCTTTTGAATTGAAAGCACACTTTGCTTTTCATCTGTAAGGATAACCATAATTTGGACAAGAAAACACGTAGGATATATACAATCGTCCACAATTATTAGAGTCTCACATTAATAAATAAATTTACCATCTTTGATTTGAAGGACTTTGTTGCGATATGCTCGCCTTCTAAGTCAAATCAAGATTTTTCTTTGCTTTCATATATAAGCAATTGGATTGATGGTCAACAAGTTCAAGTTTCACAAATTCGTCAATTGTTTCACGGATTCTTAATGGCTAGATGCGATGAGTTCTATGATAAATTTAATCGGTCTAATATGATCATTCACCAACATCATCGATATTATTCCAACTTAAGCATCTATTACTAGGTATTGAATTTTGTCATACTCGGTTATATTTATGGTGGATACTCTTATGTATTAATTATTTATTATTTTATCATATGACCATGCATGATCATATTCTTCAACATTCTACAGCGTGAGGCTTCGGTTTGTGGTGATAGTCGTGGTTTAAGGTTAAGAGCTAATTTAAGGTTTCGGTTGTGTGTTGTATGAGTTTGGCTTTAGGGTCATGCTTATATGCGGAGAGTTTTTCTTTGTGAGATTATTTTTTTTACCGTTAAAATCCTTGATTTTTGTCAACGTTTTTAATAGACTGTTAAAATTTATCTAATGAACATAGTTTTATGTAAAAAAAAATGTCATTTCAACTAAATCGTAACAAAGTTTATTAACTGCCATTACCCTGAGAAGAGACCAAAAAGAAAGCAAATAACAAAGTATATTTATTTGCGATCCAGCTGATATCACATGGTGCCACTAGTAATCATTCTA